TTGTGAACAAAGCGGCAATAAACATGGGTGTGCATCATTAAGGACTTTAAGTCTCACTTTTTGCAAACAAAGTTGTGTCATTTGCATCTCTAGAGAAGAGAAAAAAGAGAGGAAAAGAAAGTTTAGGCTAGAATCCCAATGCATATATAAAAAATTTTGACTTGGCTAGAAGAAGAGCTTTTGGAGCAGTAGGACACCAATCTGGGGTTCTGATACCAGGAAAAGAGAAAGCATATATAAGGAGCAAGAAGAAGCTAGCTGTGTCATGCACTTTAGAGGAATCAAGGTAACGTAAGAGCAGGAAAAATTCACTGAATTTTATTACTAGGAAGCCATTGGTGACTTTTATGAGATTTCTTGTACATATTACCAGGTTGCCGTGAATGTCAAATGTGAAAAAATTTCATGAAGTATAGATGAAGGACTTCTAAAAGTCTTGGATGTAGGTTATCTTCTGAAAATTGAGAATTTTCAAATGCCTGTTTTCTAATAAAGCAGTTTAACCAAGAAATGTATTGAACCATTGATTTGTATTGATTTATCTTGAATCATTGATCAAACCAGTGTTTGATAGTCTGTTTAAATATAATTGATAGTATAGTGATCATACTAGTGTTTCACAGTATATTGGTCAAAAGCTACTACGAAGTATCTTAAGAATGATAGAATGAGCCAAATACTTTCTTGATTTGGCATTAACCCTACAGTGAAAGTGGAGGAGAGGAAATTCTAGAATTACTCTACTTTGTATCATTCTAGACACTTCACTTTCTGATTTGCCATTTCTGACAAGTGGTTTAGGGATGGGTCCGTGTAGTAGTATATTGATGACTCTGAGCCAGGCTGCTGGCTGATGTTTTTGCCTGGCCACCGTAACTATTGTATTTTGGATCAAAAAAGCAGACAGACATCTCCTGCAGGAGCCTCATAGTCATAACACAGGTGTGTGCATATATGCTGTCTCTGCTCATTAGAAGGCTGATGTTATGATTGAAGAAACAGGTAATTGTCATTTTCTTCAGAAATATCTTAGTTTCTGTAGAATGTAGAGCTATTCAGTAGGCTCTGTGATGCAGGTATTTGCTGTCAATTCAAATTTAAAATCACTGTAGTTTGTAAAATATTTTTACATTATTAAAATGGTTTTTCTGAAAATTTAAAAAATAATATAACTCTTTCTTTGTACAGCAATCTTTCCCAAAGAAATTTCCCATGTCTCAGTCAGTGCCTCATATTTACATGCAAGTTAAAGAATTTATTTATGCCAGCCTTAAGTTTTCTGAGTCGCTTCACCGCAGGTAAGTTTACTAATAAGAAAGACATTTTTCTTTTTATTTTTTTAAAAATTCATTCATCGTTGCACATTTTGTCCCTCCCTTTCCTTTCTCCCTTTCCCTGTCCACTTTGCATTGCCCTTTTTGTTCTGGATTGTTGTTATACAAATAATGGCTAATCATATATTCCTTTTAAACAGTTCTTTCCCTCATCTGTTCCAATGCAGTGTTCATTATCGATCCACTCTTTTTGTATTCTGTCGCCAACCCCTCATGTCAATCCAGTGTTATGCAGGATTTGCCCTTATGTGACTGAAATATTTCATGTAGCATAGTATCTTTCAAGCTCACCCATGTTATGTAATGATTTATGCGTTCGTTGTTTTTCAGTGCGTTTCAATTCATTGTGTGAATGTACCATCATTTTTTTTATCCATTTGTTTGTTGATGGGTATTTGGATTGCTTCCATCTCTTTGCTATTATGAATAATGCAGCAGTAAACATTGGTGTTCATAGATTGGTTTTAGTCACAGTTCTGATTTCTTTAAGGTATATTCCCAGTAGTGGAACTCCTGGGTTAAATGGTATTTATATTTCCAACTTTTTGAGAAAGCGCTAGACTGCTTTCTATAGTGGTTATACAAAGAAACACCAACTCCCTACAGGCTATGCCACCAGAACTCTTAATTCTTTAGTTCAAATCAGTATTTTCTTGATTGTTTCACATTTTTTTTATAGCTAATATGTTTTAATCAGCTCTCAAAGAAGGCTTACACTTTGTTGTTGTTGTTAAGGCTGTTCTATCAATTCCTTTTTTAAAAAAATATACCACTGACTTGTTGAAAATACAGTATTCTTAATAGTTTTATTTTGGTTTTTCCCAAATGCTCATTCACTCTCTTTGCTATTGAGTCGGGACAGACTTACCCTCCAGTGGTTTTCAGAGGATATAAATTGCATGGGAGATTACCCATCGTGTTTTTTTTCCTTCCTTCTTTTAAATTCAAATCACCATGAGTGTCACTTTCAGGTTAACAGTGCAACTCTCTCTGAACAACACCAGGTTTGAAATAATGACTCCTACAGAAGCAGTAGAATAAAGAAAGATCATTGTAACGAACTGGATCATAGTCAGTAATGGAGCGCAGAAGCTGTCAATGGCTGTAGCCAACTTGATTTTATAGGCAAGTGAATACCATTTGCCTCATGTATTTAATGTAATACCCAACTTTATGGATAGAAGAAATGCAGTATTATTCTGATTTTGTTGATAGGTAACTGAGGCTTACAGGTTATATTATTTATACAGAGTGGCCTAACCATATTAGTTACAAGAGCTCAGATGTAGAAGCAGGTCCTATATCATTGTCAGAGCCACAAGGCCTCATTTATAAGGAGAGATCAGGGAAAGCCTTAATCTGTATACTGCACATCATTCTGTCTACTTAGATGGAGATTTATTCCATGTTGTTGTTGTTGTTGAGTACTGTAGAGTTGGAATCAACCCATATCTGACCCTCCGGTGGGTTTTTTGAGGACACTGCCCATCCTTCTCCCGCAGAGCAGCTGGTGGCCTTGAACCACATTCCCTTGGGATTGCAGCTCAGTTTCTTGCCACTAGGCCACCAGAGCTCCCTTATACCGTATTAGGATAACGATACCATATTATACAATAGTAACTGAACTAAATAATGAAAAATATACCATATTATAGTTACATGGTATATTTCTGACTATGAGAACTTTCTGAAAGAGTGTTGGTACTGGTTTTCATAGTGACGACCTCTCTGGAACTCATCCTTCCAAATTTGTGCGCTGAATAACATGCAATGCTCTTCTTCAGTGAGGAACTCAAGCCACAAAATATTATGAAGGCATTATTGTTTTCAAGTAGAAAAACAGAACAATGAGTTGTATCCTTTTACTTTATTTTATTTGCATCTCTTTTTGTAAAGGACTCCAAATCTATTTTATATTTAAATAGTACAAATAAATGGAAAAAGAAATGTTTGTCACAGGGTAAAGGAATATCTGATTGTAAGGGTTACATGGCTGTTTGCTTGTGAATATGGATTTTTTTTGTCTTTTTTATTTTTCCCTTTCATTTTTCTTGTGTGAATAGAGATTCTTAAAGAGTCTTTAATTTCTGCTCATGACTGATATTAGTGAGGCAGGAAGGTGGGGTGGGCAGGGAGAAGGGTGCAACAATGAATGAATGGAATTCCAAAATCTCTGTAGATGTTCACTGAAATGAAAAATAAATAAAGATTTTAAAAAAAGATACACATAAAAAAAGATCAAAAACAGAAATGAGGCTGGAAATAAAACGATCAAATTTTGTATGTCTAATGATTCTTTTCAACTGCAAATGCCTTTTTGAAAAACATGAATGACGACTTCCACAGAGACCTCACCTTGTGGACTACACGGGGTCAAATTGACTACATCTGGGGAAGGAATCGTTGAAGAAGCTCAATATGAGCAGTCAGAACTAGGCCAGTTCGGACATCGGTTCCAACCGTCAATTACTCATGTGCCAGTTTAAATTGAGGCTAAAGAAAATTAAGTCCATGAAAACCAAAGTGTGATCTTGAGTCTATTCCACCTGAATTTAAAAATGACCTTCATAGTAAGTTTGAAACATTGAACACGAGTGATCAAAGACCAGAGGAGTTGTGGAATGACATCAAGGATTTCATCCATGAAGAGGGCAAAAGGTCATCACAAAGACAGAGGAAAAAGAAAAAACTGAAATGGATGCCAGAAAAGACCTGAAAATTGCACTAGAGCATTGAGAAGCCAAAACAAAGGGAAGAGATGCTAAAGTAAAAGAGCTGAACAGAAGATTTCAAAGGACAGTTTGAGAAGACAAAGCAAAGTGTTGTAAGGAAATGAGCAGGTAGCTAGAATGAAAAAAAAAATTAGGAAGAACTCACTCAACATCAGAAAACTGAAAAAAGAAATTTAAGCCTCACCTCGCAATATTGATGGATGCCATGAGCAATATGTTGAATGATCCAGGAAGCATCAAAAGAAGATGGAGGGAATACAGTCACTGTACCAAAAAGAAATCACACTGAAAAATTTCAGAAAGTACCTTATGAACAAGAGCCAGTAGCAACAAAAGAGAAAGTTGAAGCTTCATTGATGGCAAAAAAATAAGGCCCCAGGAATCTCTGGGATATAAATTGACAAGTTTCAGCTGACACATGCAACCCTGGATGCGCTCACCAGTCTGTGCCAGGAAATTTGGAGATCAGCTTCCTGGCCAGCTGATGGGAAGAGTTCCCTATTTGTTCCCATTCCCAAGAAAGGTGATGTGGAAACTATAAAACAATATCATTAATATCACATGCAAGCAAAATACTGCTGAAGATTGTTAACAGCTAGCTAGAAAAGTACATAGATAGGGAACTGCCAGAAGTTCAAGTAGAATTTAGAAGAGGCTGTGACACCAGGGATATCATTAATGGCGTCACTTGGATCCTGACTAAAAGAATACCAGAAGCATATCTATTTGTGCTTTATTGACTATGGAAAGACATTTGACAGTATTGATCACAAGTTATTCCAGACATTCAGAAGAATGAGAATCCCAGAACACCTAATTGTGCCCATACAAAACCTGTACATAGACCAATAGGCTGTTGGGTAAACAGAGCAAGAGAATACTGTTGTTGTTATGTGCCGTTGAGTCGCCCCCAAATACACATAGTTTTAAATTAAGAAAGGATTATAGCCTCTCTCCATATCTATTCAATCTATATGTTGAACAAATTATTCGCAAAGCTAGATTCTATGGGGGAAAAAGTGGTGTCAGGATCAGAGGAAGACCTATCAATAAACCTGCATTACACAGATTACACAACTTGTTGAAATTGAGGAGGACTTGAATCACTTGCTGCAGAAGATCAAAGAGTGCAGCCTTCGATATGAATTGCATTTCAGCATCAAAACAAAAATTTTCACCACTGGACGAATAGGCAACATCATGATAGATGGAGAAAAGATTGAACTTGTCAATAATTTCAACTTACTTGGATCCACAGTTAACACCTGCGGTACCAGCAGTCAGGAAATCAGGAGACGTATTGCCCTGAGAAAGTCTGCAGTCAGGTACTACTCTGAATTATTGAGGAGCAGTGATGTCAGTTTGAGGACTAAGGAACATCAACTTCAGGTTTACAGTCATTTTCATCACTTACTACGCATCTGAGAGCTGGACAATGACTAAGGACCACAAAAGAACTGATGCATTAGGGCTGTGCGGTTGGAGAAGAGTGCTGAATAACCTGTGGACTGCTAAAAAAAGAAATCCAAACAGATAAGTCTGGGAGAAGATGCAATCAGAGTGCTCCTTTAAGGCAAAACCGACAAAGCTTTATCTCACATACTAGGTTACTAGGATAATTCCAGTTATGTCAGAAGAAAAAGAGGACTTGCCAATCATCCTCCTTTTCCTAGAATAGTAGGATGCATGACTTAAGGATGCTATTGATTGATGTGTTATCATAGGGTGGCTGTGACTCATAGTTGACTTGATGGCACCGAACAGTAGCAACAGCAACATGGATAGATTAGAAAGAATTTTCTTTTTGGATGTTTGATGCTAAATAAACCGGGTGCTCTACTGATGCACATTCGCTGAGAAGTCTTACTGAGGAAAAGAAGATATTGAGAGAGAACATTGGCTTCAGATCTACCAGAATTAGGGTTAGCAGAATTGGAAAGGGCATCTCTGTTAAAAGGAACACATTAAGTACTATTGAGGAATATTTGTGTTTCATCAAATACATTTTGCTCTATTTATATTTTAAATATACATATGAACTAGCAAATATTTGTACTTAAAATGAGCCAGAAAAAAAAAGAAATAATGTTATAATTTGTGTTTCCCAAAAATATTTGTTGTCAGCCCTCACCTCCATTGTGTAATGGTGAGTACTCTGAACTCAGCAATGTAAACTAAAATCTCATTGGAACCTTAGTTTCTAGTTCAAATGGAAGATGTTTTAAGGAACCCTGATGGTATAATAGTAGATTGCTCAGCTGCTAACCAGAAGGTCAGTGGTTTGAACCTGCAAGCCCTTCTCAGGAGAAAGGTGGAACCTTACACTATATCCACGAATAAAGTAGATCATTACAGAAGATAAATTTAGGAAAACTTAGTCATAATCAGACACTGTGAAGGAATGAGTTGCCAGGCATAGGGATTCAACACCGTAGTCTAGGGGGACACCAAGCTCAATTGGCATGACATAGTCCACAGGGACAGTGTTCTACATTCTGCTTTTGTCAATGTGTCTGGGATCTTCGAAGCTTATGAGCTGCCATCTGAAGTACAACTATTGATCACTTCCTGTCTGGAACAAGGAATTAAAAAAAAAAAAATCAAGGATTCATGCTAAATTTTGCCCAGAGGACAAGTAGACTCTGTGAACCCTTGCCTCCACAATCTTGAGATGTGAAGAACTAAAAATGAATATATTAGGGAGCTCTGGTGACCTAGTGGTAGAGAGTTGTGCTGCCAGCCCAGAAGTACATGGTTTGAATCCACCAGATGCTCCACAAGAAAAATATGGGCAATCAACTCCTAAAACATCCACTGGAGGATATTGGTTAAGACTCCATGGTACCCAACAACAACTGACCTATTTGAAAGGGATCACAATAGGATGTCCTTTATAGCATGGGAGAAGAATTGAAACGTAACTAAAAAAAAAAAATCATAAAAAGCAAACCAGATTTACTAGTGTGATAGAAACCGGAGGACCCTCTGAGATTGTGTCCCTTAGCCGCCATTCTGGCCTGTAACTGAACTTGCCTTCACACAACTGCTTTCAACCAGGCAAAAGGCCAATGAAGCGAGCAGTCATACCAGAGAGGTATAGTCACTTCAGTTAACAAGGGCAACATTTGCTCGATGTTAAAGCACAGAAGGCAGGAAGAGGGGCAGTGGAAATGATCGATTATAGGGAAGAAGTGAGAAGAGTGCTAGTACATAGTACACTGAGGGATTGTACTCAGTGTCACAAAACAGTATGTATGTGAAATAATTTTCACCCAAATCTCAGCATTTTTTTTAAGATGAAATGCTGCTGGGCAGTTCATTGGTTTTTGCTTCTATAGAGACAGTGATTATAATCCTATTTGAGAGGAAATTTGCATTTTTGTTAATGAGGCAAGATTAGTGTAGGACATATTTTGAGTCTGTATTTTGCATGAGATAAAAGAACAGAAAAAGAGAGTTGCCAAGATTTATGACAATGGCCTAGGAGCAGTTCAAAGAGGCAAAAACCTTTTGCCTGAGCTGAATTATATTCCCCTTGTATTTGGCCTTTTCACTTCCTAAAACTGAGAGAATAAATTTGTTGTGGTGTGTCTGTTACATTTCTAATATATTTTGTTATTTATTACTGTTATTGCAGCACTAGATAGATAAGGCTTATACTAAAGATTTCAACATACGTCTAAAGCAGTGGTTCTCACCTGAGTGACTTTACCTCCAGGGTATATTTTGCAATATTCAAAGACAGTTTTTTAAATGGCTACTGTAATTTATTTATTTTAAAATAAATCAATAAGCTTCCTGATGTTACTAGCAAAGTATTAGTATAATACTAGTATTATGTATGGTTCAGAACCAAAATAAGAGTGTGTCAGGAATGTATCTTTTTTTTTTTTTTTTAGGAATGTATCCTTTTTACATACTTTTCTTTTAAAAAAAATGTACAACAATGAATGAATGGAAATCCAACTTTTCTGTAAACTTTAGTTACTATCTCAATTAAAAAAGACATTAAAAGAATTTTTTTCTTAATAAGAACTTGGCACGAAATGGAAATGTTCCTGGCTTCTAGTAGATAAAGGCCAGAGATACTCTTAAACAACTTATAATGCATGAGCTAGCCCCACTACAAAAGAGTTGTCTTGCCTAAAATGGCAATGGTGTTGAAGTTGAGAAGCTCTGGTTTCAAAGATAACTGTTTTGGAAGAGTAACAGTGTCAGTCTGGAGACTAAGGTGCACCTGATACAGGCCATGATCTTTGCAGTTACTTACTATGCATCAGAAAGCTGGACAATGACTAGGGATGATAGGAGAATTGATGCCTTTGAGCTTTCATGCTGGAGAAGAGTGTTGAATATATTATGAACTGCAAGCAGAACAAACAGGTTCGTCCTAGAGAGGGTGAGACCAGGCTGCTACTTGGAAGCAAGGATTCTGAGGCTTCATCTGACATACATACTTTTGACATGTTGCAAGGCGGGACCAGTACTTGGAGAAGGACATCATGCTTAGGATGGTGGAGGGACAGCACAGGAGAGGAAAACCCTCTATGATGAGATGTGTTGATTCAGTGACTGGAGTAATGGGGGTAGGTGTGCTGGAGACAATAAGATTGGCAAGGGATAGAGCAGGGTTTAGGGCTGTTGTTGCAGGTGACTCAATGGGCACATAACAACAATTAAGCTATTTCCAAGAAATTTGTATTTAAATGTAGGGATTAGTGGTTGGAACAATTAGTCTAGCATCATGAAGTCTTATTTGTTGATTGCACTAAAAAAAATAACATTAATGTAATTGCATTTATTTCTTTGATCCTCTTTTAAAATGAACTTAAGTGGAAGTAGCTTGTTGTTGATGTTACATGCCTTCCAGTAACTCCAACTCACAAATTACAACAGAATGAGATCACCTGTCCTCAGTCTTAGTTTCTGTGAACCCCTAATTGCACTGTGTCACTCCGTGTCATAGAGGGTCTCCTTCTCATGACGCTCCACTTTCCCAAGTGTCATGTCTGCTGGTTGTATTAAAGTAGATAACATAGTTATAATAAAAAGAAGTGTGGTAATGAATTATAGCCTTTTCAGTTTGTATTTTAGAAGTAATTTTAGCTCCAGTTGCTTATAAAATGTCTTTGATAATGACTGTTTTATGGTGGAGTTATAATTTAAGAGTACTTTGATTTCTTATTCTAAGTATTTTATAGGGAGCTCTAGTGACCTAGTAGTAAGGAGTTGCACTACCAATCCCAAGGCAGGCATTTCACATCCACCAGGTGCTCTGTGGGAGAAAGATGGGAATTGTTGATTGAGAGTCTGAGGAAGTGAACAACAACAAACAAACATCCTGTGGTTTTTCTATGTTAAACGAATGCATTTTAACTATAAATTATCTTTTTTAAAAAATGTCATTTTGGTGAAATTAAATCTGATTGTCATATGATTTCATAAACTGGTTATGTTTCCGTATTTAAAGATGCAAAGGAATGACTTAGAGCAAATTGTTTTAGTAAATTGCATTAAATATTGTTTAAGATGCTAACTGAACTCCTCTGTTGTGGAAACTTACTGATGCTGATCTCCATTTTCAGCTCAACAGAAATAGATGATATGCTTAGAAAATCAACAAATCTGCTGCTGACCAGAACTTTGAGTAGCTGTTTATTGAACCTTATCAGAAAACCTCACATAGGTTTGACAGAGGTAGGTTTAAAAGATACTTTGACACTGATTCAAACAATTATTATAAATTAAATTATTGTTGAATATATCTTGTAAATCGGCCTTTAAAAATTTTATTTGTATAAGCAAATTTACTTTAAAATAAAAGCATCAATATAAATTCAAGAAATCTGGGGAAAGGAGTTTATATGGGTTACTAGATAAAGATGTTAGAATATAAATATACATTTAGATCTTTGCCAAACTTTACATAAAAAGTGAAACTCCTCATTTGTTTTGTTTGTTTGTTTTTAATGTTTGGGTTTTTTTTTAAACTTGGCAAATATATAAAATTTGAAAAGGTATTTTGAAAACATTTTATTTGTAGCAGTTAGGTCTTTTGTTTCTTTTTCCTTTTGAAGTGTTAGCGATGAGAATCAGTATCTGCAGCAGACATAAAATTAGTTGGCTCTTCGGAAGTTATAATTATATCTTAATCAGATATCACTGAAAGCAGAAATCCTATTTTTAAGAATTAAATGACATTTTGTGCTATGGACTGCATTTTATTGGCTATATTTCTGTTTTCTAGCTAGTGCAAATCATCATAAACACAACACATCTAGAACAAGCTTGCAAATACCTTGAAGACTTTATAACTAATATTACAAATATTTCTCAAGAAACTGTTCATACTACAAGACTTTATGGACTTTCTACTTTTAAGGTATGTGAAAAGCTAACCTAAAGTTTTTCTTTAAATGACTATATAAGAACTCTTTTTAAAATTAAAGACAGTTTTTTATAGTGTAATTGATGTAATTCTACTCTTCGTACAACTCTGAGACCATGTAATCAGTTTCCCAAGGTCATAAACCAGAGTGATCTGCAGAGCCCTGGTGGATTGGAACCACCAGATACATGTGGCCTTTGGGTTAGCAGCTCAGCTCCCCACAAATTATGCCATTGGAGTTCCCTGTCTTATTTCTAAGAATTGGAGGTTATTCTTAACCATAATGCTAACATTGCAAATATCTTACTAAAATGGAGAAGGATAGGGCACATTGGTTTAATTGAATCTACTGGTGTCTCTTAATTCAAGAATTACTTTAAATCTAATACATACTTATGTATGTAAATTAAAATGCTTGCTGAAACTGAAGAGGGCCTGGAGCGTTTTCCACAGAGAGTCAAGGAATGTAGTCTGTAATGTGGATTGAAGCTCAACATCACGTAAACAAAGATTCTCACCACTGGACCAGTTGGAACCGTTATGATAGATATCTAAGAGATTGTTAACAGTTTTAACTTGCTTGGTTCCACTGTCAGCACTCTTGGCACCAGCAGTCAGGAAATCAAAAGATAAATTGCATCCAGAAAATCTGCTTATTTACTAGAAAAGAGTAGTATGGTTCTCGAGGACAGATATTCTGGAGTTATACTGCTTTGTGACCCTGGACAAGTTCTTGAATTATAATGATTCCTGGTTTCTTCATCTATGTGATTAAAATAACAACATAGCAATTTCCTTACAACTTAAGTGGTAAGAAACTGTGCTGCAATCCCAAAGGCACATGTTTCAAATCCGCTAGGTACTCTGCGTGAGAAGGATGGACAGTCTTCTCCCATGTATTTTACTGCCTCTGAAAACCCACTGGAGAGTCAGCGATGGGTCAAATCTGACTAAATGGTACCTAAAAACAATAACAAAGGAGATACTTAGTGTAATATGCTTGTGCGTCTTCTAATGCTCTGAGCATTCTTTTAGAAACTGAGGATGCAAAAATGTATGCCTGTTGTCAAGAAGCTCATTGGAGAACCCTCACCCCCAATATACAGTCAAGAGTATGGTATGATAAGTGCTATAACATAGTGGAGACTGTTGGTATTTGATGTTCATATATCCAACAACAGACACATGTTTATTCTTAGCTTTTGCATTAGATTCACACAATCTCTAACCTTCATTCCTCCTGCAGTTTTTCTGTCAAGGAGCACTCATGGTTTAGTGATTAAAGAATTTGATTGATCACCCATCAGCTGCTTCACAGGACAAAGATGAGACAGTCAACTTTCAAGAAGTGTTACAGCTTTGGAAACCCTGTGGTCAATTCTCTGTCCTACAGATTGTCACTGGGTCAGAATCAACTTGCTGGTAGTGGGCTTTGGATTTGGTCTTTCTATGTTTGTGTTACTCATACTCTCAGGGAGAGAATTAGTAAGACTTAGAATCATAAGCATATTTAACAGTTGATACTAAATTTAATAGGCTTGCTCCCTTTCTGACTAAAATATTACCTCAACATTGATGTACCTAGAAATCCACAAGCAGTTTTCTTTTCAATTATAAGTGAAAGGATGCTCTTAAATTAGGGAATCTGAAGAATTTATATTTTAAGCTGCAATTTGAGAGGCAATACTTAGCTATGTTAGCTATTTTATGATGCCAGTGGTCTTCTAAGTTATAAATATTTCATTGAAACCACAATATCAATAGCATACTCCTTGTTGAATTTCCTCAGAAATCAAGTTTAATCTCTAAATAGAGTAGAATTGTCTTTGCGGTTTTTTTCTGTTTTCACAGAGAACTCAGGAAGCCTTTTTCTGTTTTATGATAGAGAAGCAAGAGCTGTTTTGAGCTCACTATTTGAAGGTCAAGTATTCTTCAATCTCACTTTTTATTCTCTTTCAAGAGGAATTTATCTTGGATTGTGATATGAGGAAGCACTTCAACAGAGAGAATTGTTAAATAAGTATTAAAGAGAATTATTGAGAGATGTGGAGAAATTTCCATTCATAATGAGTCTGTTACCTGTTTTGCAGAGGTGATTGAAGTACAGTCTTGATTACAGACATTAGCTGGATTGCTTAGATAACCTCTTAGCCTAATTATTTTCAGTCCAGTGACCCTACAAAATACATTCCTATTTAGCTGCTTAATGATTATGGAAATAAGCACTTACATGAACTTCTTACTCCTGCACCTATTTACCCTTCTAGAAACCAATATGAACAAAGGTCCTAATCTTATGTATGTTTACTTTATCAGATATAGGCTATCTTATTAACTTGTCTTCCACTTTACTAAACCTGTGATACAGAGGTATAGTAAGTGACTCTTTCCCTTAAGTAATACTTCAGCCTCCTGAAATGAACTCATCTACACTAGAAGTTATTTAACACTTAAGTTAAGACTTTTCCTAACTGAAGAAATTCTGTGCAGGTAGAAGTGGTCAATGGAAACATTGTTTTCTCTTTTTTTAAAGTGTTGTATTTCAGGCAACAAGTTTTCAAATAATTCATGTTCTTTGGGGTTTTTTTTGACATTTTAATGATAAAATATATACAGCATTTAATTTACCATTTTCGTAATTTTCAAGTGTCCAGTTCAGTAGCATTAATCACATTTATGGTGTAGTGTAACTTGTTGCTTGTTGTAATTAGTTGTTGTAAATTTCTTCATGTTTCCAAAACTTACCATCACTCCATTGGAAACTTTGTACTCATGAAGCAATAATTTCCCACTCCTCTAGTCATGGTGGTGTAAGTCTTTATCTGTTGTACTCTTAACAAAAGAAGATGGCAATGTAGACCCACCAACTGCTTCACAAGAGAAAGAGGCAGTCTCTCTTGTTAAGTTTTACCACCATGGACACCTCATGAAAGATCAGTTTTAACTCAGTGACAGTGGGTTTCTGGACCCCTGGCAGTCAGGAAATTAAAAGTTTAGTTGCATCTGCTGTCAGGGACCTCTACAGGTTGCTAAAGAGCAAAGATGTCAGTCTAGAGTCTGAAGTGTACCTGTTGCAGGCCAGTGTCTTCTCAGTTACTTGCTATGCATCTGAGAATTGGACAGTGACTAAAGATGGCAGAATTGAAGCCTTTAAGGTATGATGCTGGAGAAGAGTATTGAACATACCATCGACTGCCAAGAGAACAACCAGATTTGGTAAAACCAAGTTACTCCTTGAAAGGAAGGATTTAGAAGCTTCATCTCATTTATTTTGGGTATGCTGTCAGGAGAGGCCAGTCCTTGGAGAACATCATACTTGGAAAGTTAAAGGGTGAGCACAGGACAGGAAAACCCTGGATGAGATGTATGGACACAGTTATTAGGATAATGGGGTCACATATGTCAGAGACAGTGAGGTTGACTCTGAATAGGGAAAGATTCAAAGATTCAGAGCCGTTGTTCCTAAGATTGCTGTCATAGTTGACTCCACAGACATAACAATAAATAGCCTACGTTAACAGTTTACTTTCTGCCTATATGTTTGTCTAGTCTAGATCCTTCATATAGATAGAATTATATAATGTTTGTCTTTTTGTGTGTTATTTCACTTAGCATAATCTCATATTTCATTATGTTAGCATGTACTAGAACATCATTTCAATTTGTGATTAAAAATAATATTAATTGTGTGCAAATACCACATTTCCCTCATCTTTTCTTGGACATTTGAGTTATTTCCTTTTGCCAGTAGTGAATAGTTCTTCAGTTATGATAATTCTGTCTTTTAACTTTTTTTAGGAATCATCAAATTGTTTTTCACAGTTGTTATTCCATTTTACATTCCATGAAGTGTTTCCTTTTTCCACATACTTGCCAACACTAATTATTACAAGTGGACATATCCATATAACTGTGTGGTCAAGAAATAAAGTATTATTTTCTTTCTCTCATTTCATTGTCATTGAGTCAGAACAAACCCATAGTTGACCCTCCAATGGATTTCTGGAGTCTGTAAGTCGTATAGGAGGAGATTGCCTTTCTTTCTCCCATGAAGCAGCGGGTGGAATTGAACTGTGTGCCTTTGAATTAGCAGAACACCTCCCAGCTGACCATACCACCAGAGCTCCTTAAATGTGTTACATGTTTTTGTCATATACCATTCAGTCCAAACAGGCTCATAGCTGATCCTCCAGCAAATTTCCATAGGCAGTAAATTGCATGCGAGGAAATTGCTCATCTTTTTTTAACTGAGCAGCTAGTCGACTGGACCTGCATGCCTTTGGATTGGCAGCACAACTCCTTACCACTAAGCCACCAGCACTTAAAAGTGTTTTTGTTTGCCATTGAGTCAGATATGACCCACAGCTGACCCTCCAGTGGGTTTTCAGAGGCAGTTAAATGCACAAGAGGAGATTGTTCATCCTTCTCTCCAGGAGCAGCTGGTGGATTCAAACCACGTGCCTTTGGAATTGCAACATAGCTTCTTACCACTAGGTCACCAGAGCTAAAAGTGTTATTAGTATAAAGATTAAGGTGCACCAGATCCAAGCCATGGTATATTCAGTTACTTCATATACATGTGAAAGTTGGACAAAGAGTAAGAAAGACCAAAGAAGAATTGATGCTTTTGAATTATGGTGTTGATGAAGAATATTGAGAGTACCATGAACTGCCAAAAGAAAAACAGGTCTATATGTTGGCAGAAATGTAGCCAAAGTGCTCCTTAGAGGCAAAGATGGTGAGACTTTGTCTCATATACTTTGAGCTTGTTGCTAGGATGGGCCAGTCCCTGGAGAAGAACATCATGCTTGGTCAGAGAAAGAGAGGAAAGTCCTCAAGGAGATAAATAGGGTTTAAGCACAGCAGAGATTTTGAGGATGGCCTAAAGTTGGGCAAGAGTTTTAGTTTGCATATAGAATTGCTGTGTGTTCATCTATCAAATTGTGCAGCCCTCTGATTAACACTCCCCCCCCCAACCTCACTCCTCTGCTTCC